CCTCCTCCTCCTCCTCCTCCTCCTCCTCCTCCTGGTCCTCGTCCTGGTCCTTCTTCTCCCCCGTCTGTTCCAGACCTCCAGGCCTCGCGGAAACATCACGACGGACGTTGTGATTTCTCACACTTGGGCCTCTGAGGGCCGCTCTCGAGCTCCAGGAACCGCACGAAAACAGCCCGTGGCGAGGACGTGGCCCTGGGGATGGGGTCCAGAGCTCCAAGGGCCGACGTCGTGAAAAAACATGACGCCAGAGGCCGGGGCATTCATCTTCCACCCATCCTCCCCCCCATCCCTCCATGATTGGAGGTCGAGCGGGGATAAGGCCAATGAAGGCTAGGCTCATATAAGATGTACTGGTGGACCGTGCACGCCGTCGTTTGTCAACGCAAGCGCAGTTGCAAAACCGAACGCACATTCAAATGCAAGCGACGGGTCCGGGTGCAAGTGCAGGTGGACGCGCGGGTACAGGCGGTTGAGGTGCAGTCACAGGTACAGGTACAGGCATAGGTACCAGTGCAGTCCGGGTGCAAGTGTGGGTGAAAGCACGAGCAAGAATGCAGCTGCGCTCGCACACCGTTTGCAGATGCAGCATGCACATCGAAACAGATGTCCAAATGCAAATGCAAATCTGCTGGGGTATCGCCGACAGCTCCAGCCCGGGCGCCCGAAGAGAACTGCCGTCGGCTCTCACGCGGGAGGGCGAGAACAGTTAGCAGCTGCTTCCCAAGACTAACCAGGGAGTGCCCAGAAGGCCACAAGGGCCGACGATTACGACGAGGGCGGTGATGACGATGACGCGCCTCGAGGCTGCCGACGCGCTCTCGGCACGGTGTCGGGTCCCCGTGTCAGGACTCAGCCATCAGCGCCGTCGTACCCCTGTGGCGGTGAGTACCGCTCAACCGATCCCCATCCCCAGCGGCGTGGCCTGGGCCCCACTGGCCGATTTGCCCCCTAGATGGGGATATCTGTCGTTCCCTTCGGGTTGCGAGGGGTGTATCCCCAACTGGTGAGGGAGGAGGAGGGAGGAGGAGGGAGGAGGAGGGAGGAGGGAGGAGGGAGGAGGAGGGAGGAGGAGGGAGGAGGAGGGAGGAGGAGGGAGGAGGAGGGAGGAGGGAGGAGGGAGGAGGAGGGAGGAGGAGGGAGGAGGGAGGAGGAGGGAGGGAGGGAGGAGGGGATGGGGATGGGGACGGGGATGGGTTCAACGATACGGAGGCGGGGAGCTCACCGCAGCACTCTCCTGCTCGGCCAGGGACGCCAGCCTGGAGAGAGTCACCGCCCGCAGCCCTCTCGCCGCCAGGCCCTCCAGGAGCAGCTGCAGGGCCCGGTAGAGCCACTGCCGGAAGCCGCGCTCCGGCCGGGGGACGAACCATGGCAGAAACCATCCCCGTCCCATCCCATCCCCTCCTCCCTCCTCCTCCCTCCTCCTCCTCCTCCTCCCTCGTCCTCCCTCCTCCTCCCTCCTTCCTCCTCCTCCCTCCTCCTCCCTCCTCCTCCTCCCTCGGTGTTTGTCGTTTTCGTGTTGCTTTCACCTTCCCTCGCGTCTGTCTCGAGCCCGCCCTTGCCGCAGAACGAAGTCGAAACGAAATTTCGGCCCACGAAATCACCAAGAACACTGTGTAGGTCCAGCCCTGACATGAGCATACGCACTCGGAGGTGCGCGCGGATTTCTCTCGGCTCGGCGCTGGACCCCGCCTCCCCGACGCGCTCCGCCGCCCCTGGCGCGCTCCGCGCGCCAGGGAGGGGGGGGGGGTCCAGCGCCGATCCGAGAAGTCCGCGCGGACCTCCGAGCTGTCACCTTTATTCAAGGGGCCCAAGGACACACAAATGAATACACACAAATAAAATGATGCCCCATACTTTCCCATATTTTCTGGGTTTTGTCTTCCCGCCCTATTCCCATGTCTTCCCATACTTTCTTGGGGATCGACGACTAATTGTGCCTGCGTGTTTTTGTGCCCTCCTGATGTATGTCATTGTTCGTTCCCCTACTGGCATGTGGATGATGACGATGGAACCGTCACGAAGCTGGTTCAGCAGTGTTCGCGCGATCCACTCGGGGTCGGACCCCTGCATCCAGTCGTCGCAGTAGGCATCCCCGAGCGCGTGCTGCATGCCTGCCCGCTCCACGGAGTCGCGCATGGCGCGGGTGTACCTGCCCTGAGGCGCGCGGAACCAGCGCACCCTGTCGCCCTCCCCGAGCAGCGCTGTCAAGGTGCCGTTCGCCTCGCTAAAGACCTGCCCGAAGTCGTCGGCAGACAGGGAGGCATACTCGCGATCCTTTGCGCAATGATTCCCAAGCTCGTTGCCGTCCGCGACCAACCGCCTGGCTTGCCCTTCCAGCCGGGGTTCGCGGACATAGTCCGAGCAGACGAAGAACGTGGCGTTCGCCCCGTGCTGCTTCAACAGATCCCCCACTTCGTCCGCCATCGACTGCCCAGCGTCTCTTTGGCGGCAAAGGCCGTCGTCAATGGTGAGAGCGACGTGCCCCCGCACTCCAGGCTGCTTCCTGACGTCGAAGCAGAAGTAGGTATCGGTGTAATAAGCACTGAGCCAAGATACGGGCCGCAATCCCGCCTTGCTGGTCAGACCCCACACGTACTGCATGCGTCACGAGCCTGCCGCTGACGGGGGCGGAGGGCGCGTCTCTGAATGTCCTGAGTCGAAGGCGAGCCGAGACGGCCTGAGCCCAAGGAATCGCCTGAGCCAGGGCTACGAATATGATGCGATGATGACGGTGGTGATTGTGATTGTGATTGTGATTGTGATTGTGATTGTGATTGTGATTGTGATTGTGATTGTGATTGCGATTGTGATTGTGATTGTGATTGTGATTGTGATTCTGATTGTGGCGATCCCATGCACCCGGGGCGAAGGGGAAACTGATACCAATGATGTTGCTGATTACCTAGAAACCGCGTTCGTGACGTTGCTGATGGCGCGCTGATGCTGGTGCTTTGGGTGACCGAGGAGTAAGGGAGGACGAGGAGGCCGTGCAGGAGGAGGAGCAGGACTTGCAGGAGGGGGAGGAGGAGGAGGAGGAGGAGGAGGAGGAGGAGGAGGAGGAGGAGGAGGAGGAGGAGGAGGAGGAGGAGGACGACGACGGCGACGACGACGAAGAGGACGAGGAGAACGATGAGGAGAGATGAGGAGGAAGAGGGGGAGGAGGGGAGGAGAAGGAGGAGGAGGAGGGGGGGAGGAGGAGGAGGAGGAGGAGGAGGAGGAGGAGGAGGAGGAGGAGGAGGAGCAGCAGCAACAGCAGCAGCAGCACGAGACAGAGGAAGGTCGCACTCACATGGGTCGCAGAACGAAGCAGGAAGAGGACCTCCCCCCTCTCCTCTTACCGCTTACTCCCCCGGGTCATCCTGTGGGCACCACCGTCCCGCCAGGAGGGTACGGGAATGGAGGGAGGGAGCCGGAACACAACGACGCCGACGACGACGACGCCGACGCCGACGACACCGCCGCCGCCGACGACGCCGCCGACGACGCCGACGCCGACGCCGACGCCGACGCCGACGCCGGCGCCGACGCCGACGCCGACGCCGACGCCGAAGCCGAAGCCGACGCCGCAGCCGCCGCCGCAGACGCCGCCGCCGCCGCCGCCACCGCCGGCAACGACGACGACGACGACGACGACGACGACGACGACGACGACGCGGGACGGGGCGCGCGCGCGGCGACTTACGGAACTGCCCGCGTAAGCCGCGGTCCTCGGCAAGGGCGGGGGGCAGCGGGCGTCGCGCCACGGCGCCAATCCCGCCCCAGGAGAAGGGGGCGGGGGAAGGAGCGCGGAGAACGCGGGACGAGGAGGAAAAGGAGGAGGAGGAATAGGAGGAGGAGGAGGAAGAGGAAGAGGAAGAGGAGAAGAACGACGGGGACGAGCAGGACGAGGAGGAGGACGAGGAGGAGGACGAAGACGAGGACGAAGAGGAGGACAAGGAGGAAGACAAGGACGACGCGCAAGAGGAGGAGGAGGAGGGGGAGGAGGAGCAGGGCGAGGGGGAGGAGGAAAAGGAGGAGGAGGAGGAGGAGGAGGAGGAGGAGGAGGAGGAGGAGGAGGAGACCAGGGAGACGAACGAACTGCACGTCAAGAAACATGTTAAAGGCGGGTGTTTCTGTAGGGCGGAATGAAATGTGTGAGAGTTTGCCTACAAGCGGGCGCGGGCACACTACTGCCTGTAAACGGCAGCGGGTGGTGCAAGCAAGGATGTGGTGCGATAGGCGGGGCAAGTACGGTTCGAGTTTGGTGGTTTTACAATTCCGTCGTGGCCTAGTTGGCGCCAACCTGCTGCTACGAGTGCTCTACTGGCCGCACTATCGTGAAAGATGCCTGCTGCGAGAACGCTCTGCTGACCGCGCTCAAGAAACTAAAGGTGGAGCACATGTTCATGCCTGCTGCCGCTCAGCTGCCGGAGTCAGCCGAACGACACTCAATCGAGTACTCAGCTTCCTCGTAGCCCTCGCCCGTTAATGCCCGCAGAACTTGGCGATCATCTCGCGGCCCCTGGGTATGTCGACCTGTGTCCAGGTGAGAAGAGCAACGGTGGTCGACATTGTGACACAGTCACATGAGTCGCCAGTTCACCGTTGGGCGAGGGAACTGTGATGGGAGCTCGGGGCGCCTTCTTCTCCTCGTCGATGAACTTGACCGCGTCGTGGTCATAGCTGATCTGGCCGTCCATTCACACCGAGGATGAGCCCCTGGCCATGCTTCCCTCGGCCAGGGGGGTCGGCGCGCGCATCCCGAAAGTCGCACCAGAAAAGGTCCTCGAAATGCTTGGCGCGCAGATGGTCAGCTAACCACCACAGGTGGCCTACCATGCTGTTCTCCGAAGGCGATCGCACCGAGTCCACGAGCAACGCGCTGAAAACGGACATGCCGTCGATGACGAGATCTGCAAGGATCGCGCAACCTCCTTCCCCCGTCAGCCCCTGGATCTCCTCGGCAGAGGCGGGGCCGCACACCATCTCGTAAAGCGCGAGGAGGTACGCCTGCAACCCGTCGGCTACTCCCCTTTCCGCGAGCAGCCGCATCCTGTCTCCCCCTCCCTCTTGAACGGCACGTCGCGGCGCACGCTGGGTCTCCGGGCACACTCCACGGCTGGAAATACGAAAGGCGCCTATATTCTACATGGCCAAAACAACCGAGTTGATTTACATCACGCGTCGCACGAGCAGCTTGTTCTCGGCCCTCTGCAGGGCGGCGCCGGGCGAGCAGGGCGCGATCCGCTGCTCCCAATCGGGAGACAAAGAGGTCAGGACGCCGACCTTCGACCGGCTCGTCAGCCTTCGCCTTCACCACGTCGACGCGTCCGGTCGGTAGGAGGGCGCTGACGTACTCGTCCTGGTCAAGCGCCACTGTGCTATCGGACTGCGGCGCTGGCGCACTCAGCAGTTGGCGAAAACATCACAATCACCTCTCATTGTGAAACAGACGCTCTCGACATGGCCGATCAGCTGGCCCAAGTGCCCCGCGCGCCCAGCGATCTTCAGATCGCAGACGTGCTCGGGCCGACAGCGCGAGCACTAGCTCCGAGAAGATGCTGCCACAAGTACCCGACGCCTCGCGCTTGACCTCGCGCCCCCCGCCCCACCCGGCGAGTTCGGCGCCGCGCTCTCGCGGGCGCGCGAATCAAGCAAGCTTCACGAACAAAGCTCGGGGCGCATCCTTGCAGACCGCTTCCGGCCCGATGCCGCGCAAGCACCCAGTCTGCTCGTCGTAGCTCTCGCGGCCGGGCACCTGCCGAAGGACATCTGCAATGCCCGGCGGCAAGGCATGTCCCTGAATATCGCCGTAGGCCATGCCTTGCATAAACGCCATCTCGACGTCCACGGCGACGCGCGCCCAGTCAGGGCGACGCGCCGCCTCCGAGGACAGCAGGCGCTGAGACGCCCGCTTCGCTGCCCCAGCGAACGCCCCCAGGGCTCCGGCGCCCATGTCGCGGAAACCTCTCAGCGCCATGAGGCACCAGATGATCCGGAGAGTCTCGCCGTCTGGCCCACTCTGGTGCGCCCACTTGAAGACGTGTTTGGAGACCAGTACTTCTCGGGCGCCCTCGAGCGGTCGCCTATCAAAGCATTTTGCGCTTGACTCCGGTGGTGAGCTCTTCGAAGATGGCCGCTGCGACCTCCATTGACCGCCTCGACGATTCCTCGCTGGACAGAAGGTCGGCGTCTCGCCACATGGCCACAATCCTAACGGCTGCCTAAATGTTCAGCACGGCTGTCCGGGAAACGACGGCGACACAGTCACCAGGGGCTTCGTCGTCGAGCAGAATGCGCCCCGCACCCCTGGATCAAGATGCGAATCCACACGCCTTCACCCTTCATCCTCCTCCTCTAGCGTGGCGTAGTCGCCCATGGAGGCACCGCGCAAGTCAGTGGCACTGCGCGTGAATGCTCCGACGCTGACGCTGCGTCGAGGCGCCGCGGCCACTTGCACGGCCCGCGGCCAGGGCCAGCCGCGGCGCGCTCGGCAACGGCGTGAAGTTTCTGCTGACGGTCAGCGCTCTCCAGCTCCGCGAGCTCCCGGGCTGAATTTTCTGCTCCTTCAACTCCATGCCAGGCTGCCAACATCACCTGTTGGACGTGGCCGGAGAGGTCGCTGTCGGTCTCCTCGGGCATAGACGACAGGGCTGATGGTGAATCACCTTCGGCGGCGATGGCCGTGTCCTCGGGCACGTCGATGACACAGCCATCGAAAGATCCGTCGAGTTCCTGCCCGGCGTCTGCTACCAGCACTGGCTCGTCAACCAGGGGAACTCCTTCCAATGCTCTCGAATAAACTGATGGGCGTCGAACTTGACGCAACTGAGGTGGACATGCTGGACGTAGATCGGGTTCCGAAAAATACCCTGGCTGCGGGTGCAACCCCGCCAGTGGCCCAAATTTTTGGCCGCGTATCTGACTTGCGGCACGAGCGCCTGGCAGTTAAACGCATCTGCAGGACAGATGGCGCAGGGCTTCGACGATGTCTGGGCGCTGCCGGGTCTGCTCGGTGATCCGCACGCCCTTCGCGCCCTCCCAATGGCCAAAGATCCTGGCCCTGGAGCCTTGGTGCGACGTGCCCCACGCAGCCCTCCACGCGGTCCCGGGCCAAGCCCGCCCGCACCACGCCAGTGCCCACGTCGTCGAAAACGGCACCGATGAAGGCCCAGGCGTCTTGCAGTCTGTATCCCATCTGATCTCGGCTGCAATCGGCCGCCACCGGGCCTCGAGCCAGGCCGCAGAGATGACCGCCCCAAGGCCGGCTGAGGCCGACATGTCCTTCGAACTCGGGGGGCTGTGGATCTCCAATGCATCGCCAACATGGAACAAGGCCTCCCTGGACTCGGCGGCACGGGTCTGGAGGGCACGGCTGACGCGCGAAATCGACGCGGCCTCGATCATGCGTCGCAGAGAAATCTCGCGGACGCGCCACTGCAAACAGTCGGGCTCCATTTCCCCTCCAGCAGAAGGCCTGCAGCGGCGCCGCAAGCACCGGACACTTCACCCTCTTCATCTGCTTCGAGCGGGGGCAGCATGGAAGGCTGCCTTCCGAAGACGACGTCGCATGGTGCAACGCCGCCCACGCTGCGTTTCCATCGCACCGAACAGACGGATCC